ATTCAGGCACTAAACTCAACTGCACCCGATGCCGTGATGACCAATCTCACCCACACACCCCCCCCCACTCTACCCACCGACTTCTCACCACAGCACAGTCTCCTCGCCTCCCCTCATGTCTGTGACCCTCCTTCACTTCGCACTGCGTGACTGAACCAACTCCCAGCTAAAGTACGCCACCTGATCATGCATGTGCTGGTGCGTGTGAGGCTCATCTGCTCTCCCCCTCCTCCACCTCCTTCCACTTTCCCACCAACTCTTCCTCCACCTCTGCATTACTCATCCCCAATCCCAAACCCACCCCACCCCACCCCACTCCCACCTCGCGTCCTACTCCTCCCTTCTGTTGCACATCGCGAGGGTGGACAGTGGGCATTCGGACACTGAAGAGACTAAGCATTCATTTACTCATTCACTCATTCAATCATTCATCTCTTCCATATGTGCCATACGATCACCACCATCCGCTAATCCACTCCTCCCTCCACCTTGCCATGCTTTGTGCCCTTGCACAAGCTGCACCGAACAACACCTTACTGGCATGTTCCATCCAAAGAGAGCGACGAGTCATGTGGGCAGTGACGGTGACACAATTAATGTGTGTGGGTGGCGCATGCACGCCTCCACACTACCATAGACAAATTCAATGCACACACACACCTCTTCGTTGCCTTCCCTAACCGACTGTACTCGTGCAACGTCTGCAAGATGTCGCGGAGACAGAGTCGACCCATGACGAGGAGCATCTCACTCCTGCCAAACTCCACTTCATGCCAATGTCGTGCGTGCAGCATTGGAGTGTGGTCGGCTCCATGCACTGACACCTCCGGGATGGCACACCTCCCTCCCACCGAAACGCATCATCACAAGGCATTGCGCAGGTGTACCAACGAACAGACGAACACTGGTATGGCAACCGAGGACCACCTCACTCACAGTCAAACAATCTCACTGCCTCCTTCAACTCACCCACCACCTACTACTACTGCTGGTTGGGCATCATTGCATCCACCCTCCACCCTCCACCACACCTCCCACTTCCACCGGTGCA